CGACGAGGCCACATTTGAGCCAGCCCGAGGCGATTCCATCAGAGGCGCCGCGCAGATGGCACCCCCGTGGACCGCGCAACAAATCGAAAGACAAGGCGGCGAAGACCCGAGCCCCGAAGGCCTCGGACACCCCTCCGGCGCCCCCAGCGAGTTCGAAAAATGAAGCCGAGCGCTTGCACTTTGAAGCTGCCAGTCGATCCCTCAGAAGCCCCTGAAGGCGACGCGCGACCTGAGCGGGCGAAGCCGCGGCAGTACTTCAACCATTGGCGCCTGGGCGGGCGCGGGGGGCAGCGCTTGCCACGTCACCGCGGCGCCCCTTGCAAGCGCGCCTCCTTCGCGCAACGCTCCACGCCGCCCAGCGCCGCCCAGCGCCCGCGCCTCTGGACCTGCCTCGAGGCGCCGCGCCCCCCCGGGCGGCCCCCAGCTCGCCCCCCCGAGCCGCGAGGCGCAAGGAGGGTCGGGTCGACGGGGCCCAGTTGCAGAATACTGACAACCTCCTTGAAACGCCCCCGGAGGCAGGGCAGGGCAAATCCCCGGAGGCTCTGCCCGACGCCCGCGGCGGACTTCAAAGCGGCGATCAGCAGCCAGATGCCAGTCGCGGTCGATCACCACGAACTCGTCGCAGAGACCGGCCCCCCCACGGTCGCCCCGCGCCAAGGGGGCGCGGCAACGGTTCCCAGCCCCCCGCCGAGGCCGCCGCCGTCGCCGCGCGGGGGAATCGGCGACGCGCCGCGGAAGCGGCAGCCGGGCCTTCCGCGAGAAGCCCCGCGAGAGGCCCCAGCGGGAAGGCCCGGCATGAAAACGCCCCGGCGCCGCAAACAGCAGCGGGCCTTGGCTCGAGGCGGCCCCGCGCACAAACTGGCGGTTCAAGAAATGCGCCGCCGCCGCGCCCGGCGCGCCCGGGCCCTGCCAGACCAGGCGAAATTTGCAAGCACTCTCTGGCGCTGATCCCCCGCGCCCGGCCCGATCGCCAGCGTCTCCAGATATGGCCCAGCGACGCCCGCCTGACTCGTCCACCAAGGGGTCAAACATCAGATTAAGGGCCCGCGGTAATATGATGTCACCTCCCTGGGCCTGATGATGACGATGACGCCGGCGCCGATGATGCTTGCGATAACGATGACGACGATCGTGGCGATGGTGATAACCTTGATGCCTTGTCCTCGCCCCCATCGTCATCGTCTTCCTTCTAGTTCTGATATTCGCTCTCGCCCTCCCTGGCTGCTCACCATTCCCCCTGCGCCCCCCCCCCCCTCGCCCTGCACCATCTACCCCCCCCATGCCCCCCCCCCCCCCCCCCCCCCCCCCCCCTGCCACCCCCCCCCCCGATCTGCATCGCCCAATCTTCCTCCGCCTTCAGTTCGAAATCATGAGTGACGGCCGAAAAGCGAACGAGACCGCCCGCGCCCTTAGAAAACGGGACCATGCAAAAGAATACACAGGACCGCCAGGAAAAGAAACAGGATCACAAAGAGTGTAAACAGACGAACCGAAAATTAAACATAACCAAGCAAACCACTAAGAAGGACCACAGAAAAACTAAACGAGACCACCCCAAACAAGCACGCAGGACCACGCAAAAAGTAAACAAGGCAAGAAGAAAACTAAACAGGACCACGGAGAAACTAAACAGGAACACCCAAAAAAGTAAGGAGGACCACGCAACAAGGAAACAGGACAAATGAACAATTATACAGGACCACCATCAAAAGTAAACAAGACCACGCAAAAATTAGACGGGGCCTAGAAAAATTAAACAGGGCCGCGGACGAAGTAAACAGGATCACGCAAAAAGTAAGGAAGACCACAAGAGAACGAAACAGGACCACGGAGAAACTAAACAGGACCACCCAAAAAAGTAAAGAGGACCACGCAACGAGGAAGCAGGACAACAGAAAAAACTAAACAAGACCACCCACCAAACTAAACAGGACCACGCAAAAAGTAAACAGACCCACAGAGAAACTAAACAGGACCACCCCCAAAAAGTAAACAGGGCCAAGAGAAAACTCAACCGGGCCACAGAGAGAGCAAGCAGGACCACAGGACAAAGTAAACAGGACCACGCGAAAAGTAAACAGGACCACGCGGAAAGTAAACGCGGCCACAGAGAAACTAAAGAGGACCACCCAAAAAAGCAAACAGGACCACGCAAAAAGTTAACAGGGCAACAGAAAACCAAAACAGGACCACCCCAAAAACAGCAAACATGACCACGCAAAAAATAAACAAGACCACGCAAAAACCTGAACAGGATCACAGAGGAACTAAACAGGACCACCCCAAAAAGTAAACAGGACCAAGAGAGAACTAGACAGGACCACAGAGAAATTAAACATGACACCGCGAAAAAGTAAACGAGACCACGCGAAAAGTAAACAGCACCTGGAAAACAACTAAACATGACCACGGAAAAACTACACAGGACCACCCAAGAAAAAATGACCGCGCAAAAAAGGGACCATGCGAAAAGCAAACAGGACCACAGCGAAACTAAACAGCACCACCCCGAAAAGCAAACAGGATCACCGGGGGGGGGGGGTGGGGGGCAAAAAAAAAAAAAAAAAAAAAAGATGGGGAAAGAGAAGAATAGAAGGAAACAGGAGAGGGAAGAGGGAGAGGAAAAAGAAAAAGGAAGAAGAAGAGGGAAGAAAAAAAAAAAAAAAAAAAAAAAAAAAAAAAAAAAAAAAAAAAAAAAAAAAAAAAAAAAAAAAAAAAAAAAAAAAAAAAAAAAGGACCAACGCAAAAAGTAAACGAGACCTTCCACTGATGATGATTGTGACGGCGAAGGCGACGGGGATGATGATGATGATGGTGATGATGACGGTGGAGGCGATGGCGATACTGGTGGCGATGGTAACTGCGGTGACCGCCGATGAGGATGAGGATGATGCACGATGACGCCGACGATGTGGATGCCGATGGCGAAGACGATGACGTCGGCGATGACGACGGCGCGTTTCTCTTCCTCGCGCTGGCGCAAGCGGAAGGGACCAACCAGAACAGCGCGCGACCGCGAGGCCACCGCCAGAGGCAGATTCACCAGCGGGGCCACCGCCAGAGGCAGGTACACCAGGCCACGCCTTCACCGTGGCTCCCACGGGAGCCCAGGGGCCATGGCCGCAGCAACCGCTGGCGCCGTCATTGGCGTGGCCGCCGCCGCAGTCACCGCTGCCGGCGCCCCCGCTGAGCTCGCGCGCCCGCCGAAGGCAGGCTGCGTCGGCGCAGCTGTCGAGGTCGAGGGCGCAGCAGCGCCAGGGCCACGCGCCTCGGTCGCAGTACTACTGCCCCCTGCAGGGCACCCCGAGGCCGTGCCATCGCTGCCAGCAGCGACGCCGGCGCCGCCGCTCACGTTCGCCAGCGCGGCTGGAGCAGCAGCAGCGGACGCGCCAGAGGCAGCGTTGCAGTCCGCGGCGCGCACGCTGGGGACGTCGCGGGCTGCTTCCGCCACGTCGGAAAACACCGCCTGCGCCAGGGACTTTTGCTCCCGCGCGAGCTTGCACCCTGCAGCAGGGCCCGCCACAAGCTCAGCAAGCCCTTGTGGACGCTGCTCGCAGAGCACCCCACGATCATCGCCACGCGGGGCCAACGAAAGACGGAGGTCAAATGGGCTCTGGTGGCACGACGCGGCGCGGCAAAGATTGTCGCACTTGGACTTGTCCAGCGCCTTCATGGGTTCGTGCTGCTCCACCGTCGCCACCAGCGGGTGGCTGCTCGCCAAGTGCTCCACGCGCGGTGGACGCCGGCGTAATGTTTCAAATTTTTAAGCCCGCCAGAGGCAGGGTCAACCGAGCACTGCATCAAGGCCTCCTTTCCCGTTCCCCCCTGCACCGATGCAACGTCTGCAATCGGCGCGAGGAACGGCGGCATCAACCATTCCTGGAGGGCCCTGCCCGAACCTCGCGCGGTGTAGAGGGACTGCCCCTCCTGCTTTGGCTCGGTGGGCCGCGGTTCGCCAGCGCGGCAAACCCCGCCCGCCGCACGGATGGGGCACGAGGCTCTCCAAGCGACGCACCCGCCGGTGAGACTCCCGTCGAAGGCGGCGTCGTCATCCGCGACGCGGGCAGCGTCGGCCAAGCGGGCGCGGCGACCCATGGCAAGCTCGCGCGATGAGCCCCTGTCGCTCGAGCCTGCAGACGCCGCGGAAGGAGGTCAGAACTTCCGACAGCAGGAGGACAGCAAAGGCACCCGACAGGAGGAGGGGCGAGGAGGAGGAGGAGGAGGGCGACATGGAGTCCCCAGAGGAGGAGGTCGACGAGGCAGGCGACGACGATGATGAAGGGGGAGGAGGAGGAGGAGGAGGAGGAGGAGGAGGAGGAGGAGCATGAGGAAAGACACAAGCAGGAGGAGAGGCATGATGGTGATCATGCTGACGGGGAAATAGCTGATTATGAGGGCGACGATGGCGATGATGAGGATGGGGGCGATCAGGATGATGATAGCGATGACGCTGATCAGGACGGAGGACGAGGAGGAGGAGGAGGAGGAGGAGGGGGCAGGAGGGGGAGGAGGAGGAGGGGGAGGAGCGGGGGGGCGGAGGGGCAGGAGGGGTAACAGGAGGATGGGGGAGGAGATCGATCAGGGGGAGGAGGTGAACCAGGAGGAGCAGGAGGAGGAAGAGGAAGCAGCATCAGAACTGATGTTCACGATAATAATGGTGATGACGACAGCGATGGTGATGGCGATGTTGATGTCGGTGGTTACTATGATGATGATAATGATGGGGGTGGCAAACATTATGATTGACAGCGACGGTGATGAGCATGATGGCGCCGACGACAAATAGCACGAGCCTGACTTGTTTTGCGCGAGCGGCCACGCCACCGCGAAGCAGTCGAGAGCTCTCTCGGCAAGGAACAGGCAGCGACAGAGGCAGCTGGGAGCCGCTGGCGAGCATGGCCCCGACGCCCGCCCCCGTCAGTGTCGCGCCACCGCCAGAGGCAGGTCTGCAGTCGCCCGACTAGCCCCCAAGGCGCTGGTGACTCCCAAAACGCTCGCGCCTGTGCTTGTGGATGAAGATGGGCAGGTCCATGTACAACTTGTAGATGTCGAAGGCAATGCAAAACGGCCATCCGTGGTAGAACATCTCTGCGAGCGTAACAACGGTTCCCGACCCGATTTCAAACTTAGGCGCGCCAGAGGCTGCGACGACCCTGCGGATCAGCAGCGTTTGGCCGCCACGCTGGTTCAAAACCCAATCGACCTCTTCCATTGTGAGCCACTCGTCGGGCCCCTTCCAGTATAGCCAGCGCCGCAAGGCGTCGGTCCTCGCGAACTGAAACCGCCAGAACGCTGGGTGGCGGACGTCCTCCTCCAAAGGCACCCCGTCGCCCTCCTCGACCAGTCTCGCCCCCCCGTCGCGCCCTTTGACTGAGCGCATCAAGAAATCGGGGGCGGCCTGCACCCCCCAAGCGTGCAGTAGCACAGCCCAAATAGGACGTTCTCGGCCCGCGCACTCTACGCGGTGATCACCGCCAGAGGCAGGTTGCAGGCTCGGAATAGCTCTGCAAAAGAAACGATTGCGGTCAAAGCCCTCGCCGTCGAACTCTCGTTTGAGCACGCCGAGGAAGTGCATCTCGGTCGACGCGAAGGCCCGCAACACGGGGAAAAGCTGGCCCTGGCTCTTCCCGCCGTCGCTCGCGCGCGGGATGCCAGTTAGGAACTCGCTCGGAAGAGGGGCGGGGCAGCACTGGCCCTCCAACCTCGCGATCAACTCCGACAAGCGCCTCCGCCGCTCACTCGCCATGCGACTGCTGCATAGCCGCATGCGCGAGCCCCCGGGCCAGGCAACGTCGCGGACGTGCACCTGACGGTGCACTTGCGTCGCTCGCGCCCGGGCCCCCCCTGATCCTCCGCCGACGCGCCGCCGAGTCTCGATTGCTTCATAACGCCGCGCAACGCGCCAGAGGCAGCACCGCGCGGCTCTCCCCCCCCAAATCTTCCTCGCCAGCGGATGAGCGCAAAGCCTCGGATGACGCGCAATCGGTCGACTCGCTGTCCTCCTTATTGTCTGGAACAGTCGAGTCCGCGTCCTCCAAGTCGACCGCGTTACGACGCTCGCGCTGAATCCGACGCTCCGTCTTCGATCTTTCCTCGGGCGCGCCAGAGGCAGCGACGGCAGCGGCGGCGGCCCAATCCTTGTCCGCCGCGACGGGGAACACACGGGCCGAATCCAGCTCCACCAGGTCGAAGAACACCTGCCGCGCAGCCTTCGTTTCGGCCCCTGTCCAATTGGACCCCCTGGGCGCCAGCCACAACGCAAACGTCGACGAGTCCACCTTTCCCGTAAAAATCCCAACCGCGAGCGCCCCCCCAGACACAGCGAGGCTGAGTGACAGAGCGAAGTCGCTCTGGCCATCTGAGATTGCACGGCCCCTGTCGTCCAGCACGCGGTCCTGCAGCACATTCCTCATGGAGGGGTTGATCGTCGCCGCGAGTGGTTGCGTCTTCGACAATGCCAACGCGCGCCGCATGCTCGCGGTGCGCTGAAACATCTCGCCAGCGGCAGGGTCCTGATACACGAACAGAGCATCCGATTCCCCAATTGACTTGGTTTCCTGTCCCTCAGCGATTTTCTGGGCGAAGGGAACGCACGCGACTTCCGCCTGGACCGCCCAAGGCGGTGGCGCGCCAGAGGCAGCGCTGCGCGCGACACCGCCTGCGAGCTTAAGGCGCGCGCACGCGCCCCCGGGAATCAGCTCCGAACCCGCTGTAGGTACACCCCGCCTCCCCCTTGCATGCTGAAGGGGCGCCCCGACGCAAGCTCCTGGCGGGCGCTCGCTCCGCCACCCCGCCAGCCGAACCATCAGGTCGCCCGCGCCCGCCTCACCCGCGTAGCGGGCGTCGTGGGCGCCAGAAGCAGCCGCGGCAGAAGCGCCGCGTTTCCTCGTGGCGCGCGCGAGCCGCCCCGCGACGGTCGCCAATGCCGGCCGCGCACTGGAGCTGAATAGGCTGCGAATGATGACAACGATGGCGGTGCCGACGGCGACGGCAATCATGCTGACGAGGGCGGTGGCGATGATGAACAGGAGGGTGGCAATGATGACGGCGACGGCCATGCGAGTGACGAAGACGAGCACGACGATGAATGATGGCGCTGATGGTGATGATGACTGGGGTGGCGACAATGCAGATCCGGATGAAGTTTGCACAAGGCAAGTGGATAGCCCGTCACAAGACCACGTGTTGCGGATGCTGAGGATGGGCCCCGATGCTTGCTGGAGGACCTGCAAATCCGAGATCGCACCACGACTCGCACGCAACGGCCCAGCGCGCGAAGTTCCGGGGCGCACACGGGCAGAGAATCCCTGGGCAAGTGCCCACCCTCTGCCCGACGAGAACCACCGCGCCAGAGGCAGCGCCCGTTCTCACAGATTAGCATGACCAGGAGGCACTCCACTTTCTCCACGCCCGGCTGGTGCAGACACCCTCCTGCGCGGAAATGCTCGCCCAGGGCATCCACCTGATCGGTGGCGAGCTCGAACTTGAGGCTGCATCGCGCATGTGCCAAGTCCAGCAGTGGCACGTCTGCAGGAAGGGGCCGCGAATTCAGACGGTCGCACACATCCATCGCGCACCCAACAGCGCGGCACAAGTGGCCCGACGCTCGCGCCAGAGGCGGTGAGTGCTGCGCTGGCGGGCGCATCCTCGCGCAGCGTCTCCACCGCAACCACGCGGGCGGCATGCCAGCACTTGGATCCCCACCACCGCACGTGACACAGGCATTTGCTGAGCTCGCTGCGTGAGCTGCGAGAAAACCTCACCTGATCTGGAAGCGGCAACAACGCCACGATAAAACCAAGGCCCACCTGCAATGAGGTGCCAGCGAAGATATGGCCGCAGGCAACTAGCGCGCCAACGCGGGCGCCGACGGGCAGGCGGACCAGCGGGAGAGGCGGCGCCGTTTCCTGCCGCAGAGCCCGCGGCGAAAGCACGCCTCGACGGGCCAGCCTGAGGAGTCTTCAAGCGGAGCCTGCTAGGTGGAACCTGCGCGCACGGTGACAGGAGGTGCCGGCTGCGGCAACTTTTCGCGCCCGACAACCTCTACGTTCTGAAACAGACACTGAAAGCACACCATATCATCCAGCCCATACTCGGCGCCAGAGGCAGCCCACAAATCCTGTGGAACGAGATCGCACACTGCGACGGAGTCCTCATACGCGATGCCCCAGGCAGCCGCCACCCCCCTCTCGGCCCCTGATCCCATGCCAGCCAGCAGCGCCCAGTGCCCCTCGGGCGACTTCACTCTGACGCCCTCGGCCTTGAAGAGTCAGCGCAGAAACGTTGTCCGCGAGTGCGTCGCCTTCGCCCAAAGCTGCGCCGAACGCAGATGCACCTCGCAAGTGGAATAGGTCGCGCCAGAGGGAGCGAACGGCTCCGCGAGTTTGGCGACGGCATCCGCCAAAAGGCCGGATCGCAGGTCCCCCGCTAGGACGCCGAACTCAACCTCCGCCGTTCTCCCCTCTGCCGGATTCACCGCGGGATGGTGCGAAAAATGATCAGCTGCCGCGCCGCCGAGCGATCGCACCTTCGCCCGTGGCAATAACTCCACGGTTTCCTGGCGGCGATTACAGACGACGGAAAACTCCGTCGGCCGCGGACTCAGCATCGCCTTTTTCCCACGGAGGGACATACTAGGCTGCGCGACCCCGCGCGTCGGCTCCCAGGAGCCCCCCCACGCGGCGCATCAGAATTTTCAGGATACACGCGGCCGCCCACCTACAATAGCAGAGGAACAGCACGCACAGCACCTCCAAGCGCAGGGTGGAGCTGGCGATATGTTCTCGCAAGTGCACGCCAAAGGCAATGCCCGTGCGAACGCCGCGCCGATGGCGAAGCGAAGCGACGCACCCGCCCTGCGCAGAGTCACCGAAGCAGTTGGCAACGTCGCCAAGCGCCCACCGCAGCCGCTTCAGCTCCCAGCGCCTCCCAGAGCGACTGTCGAGGAACTGAGGGCAACCAGCGTTCCGGCACAACCCGTCCGCGCGGGCGCGCCGTTTGCAGGCGGAGCAGGCACACGCCATCCGCGGAAACGCGCTGCACACAGCGGCAGTTAACCACCCAGTAGAGCAGAGAGGGAGCGCGCCATAGGCTGCGCGTCACCTGAGCAAGAGACGCGCCTGCGCGGGCGGACACACACTGGGCGCGCGCGCGGGAGGCTGGCGCTTCGATTGCGCCCGATCTGGAACAGGAGAAGGAAGAATATGATCCTCTCTGCTCCACGTCCGCTCCTCGCCTGCCCCCCCCCCCCCCCCCCCCCCCCCCCCCCCCTCTCTCGCTCGCAGCCTCTCCCCCCCCCCCCCCCCCTCCCTCATCTCCTTTCCTTCTCCTCTCCACCTCCTCCGACCTACTCCTCCTTCGGGGGCCCAAGACGCTTTCTTGGCTGGGGGGGGGGGGGGCTCGGGGTGCGCGCGGGGGGGAACTACTTGAGAGCGCGCAGAACGTGGCGCGTCTGACGAAAGAGAGACTGCCAGCTGATATTCCTCAAAACGATCTCCGTTCGGCAGTGGCGACGTTCGATCGGCGCCTCGTTCGGAAAGGGTTCGGGGACCTGCCCTGCCTGAACACGCGTCGGTTCATGCTCCGAGGCGTGAGGCAGGTAGCCGCGGCGCTCGGTTGCGACGAGACTGCAGCTGCGCTGCAGCATAACGACGCCATCCCACACACGCTGGCGCAATTCTGCCCAGGACAGCCCTTGGCGGAGAAAACAGACCAGCAAGCGTGGGCGCGTTTGCTTGGCGACGCTTTCTGGCACGCGGCGTGTCCGAGGCGTTTGGTCGGCGCGTCTCACGTCCTCCGTAAGCTCGCCAGGTTCTGCATTCCATTAAAGACGGCGGGTGCGCTGTGCAGCGCGATGTTGCGTTTTTCCCCGCAACGAGCAAGCTGAGCATCGCACAGCAAATTTAGAAGTCCTCGACGATTGCCGGATCCCGAAACTACTCGGCCCATGAGCGGTCGCCGAGTTCGACGCGGAGGCGGTTCGTCGCCCAGAGAACAGCTCGCGCCTTCGTTCTAGAAAGTGCGCCTGTCTCTGGCGGCAGCTGCACGGCGCGCCTTCTGCCATCGCAACCTCGCCGCCGCACGCGCGGCCACGCTGGAGAGGGCCGCCTCGCCAAGAGGCCCTCTGCGCCGCGCCGCTGTCGGCGGCCTCGCCGCTGCTCGCTGGGCCGCGCAGCGCAGGCGCGCGCGCCGCCAGTGCAACGCTGCATCCTGGCGCGGGCGCGGCTCGCAGCACTCGGTGCAACGATGCGATGCAGAAGTTTCACCGACGATCTCTGCGCAGCAGACCCGGCGCGACGCAGGTCCGGGCCGCGCCAAGCGGCGTTTTCCTGAAACCTCCAGGCGTTGCCCTCGGCGCCTGTCGGGGCGCTCGCGCGGCGCCAGCGGGGCCATCTCCGCGCGGCAAGGCGGCGGCGCCCACTGCCTCTGGCGAGGTCGGGGATGCGCGGGCGAGGGGGTCCAGCGCAGTGACGGGGCCACGCAGATGCGCGGAGGCAACTCTGGCTGTCGCCCCAGATCTCCCAATTCTCCGCGACGCGGCGTCGCTCGCCGCTGACGCGGACATGGCAGCGTCGTTCCCCTACGTCGTGGCGCTCGGCCTGGATGGCGTCAACAGAGCCCAACTGCCTGCTGCCGTTCACGTCCCAGGTCGTCTATTGCCGAGTCAGTATCTCAGGCATGCGCGGGCATGCGAACAAAGGGTCACGCTCCGCGTTGAGGAGAGGCTCGACGTGGAGTTTCCATCTGCGCGCGCCGCCCTGCGGCGCTTCGCTCGTGCGCGCGGGGGCAGGATCGTCGCGGGCGCCGTCGGCGCGCCTGCCTCTGGCGGCGTTTCCCTGCTCGCACTCCAGGACGCGGTGGACCGGGCTGTCTCAGCCCGGAGGGCCCTCAATGAATTGGGGCCGAAGGTTCTCAGCGCCGACGGGTCGCGCCTGCGGACCTGAGAGAAAAGCTTCGCTCTCGCCATCGCCATTGACATTCTCATCGCCACCGCAAGCAATGAGCATGAATTTGAACTATGACTGCATCGTCATCTCAAGTGGTTGAACATCATCATCATCAACATCACACTCGCCCTCTTCGTAATCCACCTGACCCCTCTCCTTGTTTTCCTGTGTCTCCCTTCTTTTACTCCTCCCCCACTCCTCTTCCCCACTTTCCTCCTCCGTTTCAGCATCCGTCCATCTTCTTTTCCTTCAGCCCTCTTCTCCATGATCCAGCTCCTCCTCCTCGTGATTGTGCTTCTCGCTCTGTTCCTCCTCGACTCCTCCTCCTGTTTTTCTTCTTCCTCCTCCCCCCCCTTGCGCCCCAGTCCTTCCCCTCGCCCTTCTCCTATCTCCCCTCCTGCAGTTCCCCCCCCCCCCCCCCCCTCCTCGCCGTCATCTTCTTCGACATGGGCAATCCTTCTCTGACAGGGCTCACCTGCCGTTCTCTTTGCACAGAGAGTCGGGTTGTCGCCTCCCTGCGCGCAAAGAGCAAGGCTGTCGCTCCCCTTTTTTGCAAAAAAGCCGAG